CTTGGCTAAAAAAAAAAAAAAAAAAGCTGATGGTAAACTAATTTCAATATGAGTAAGTAGTCATTTATTTTAGAAAGTGTCATGCTGTTTATCTGAAATAAAGTGGATTGAAAAAAAGAGGGGATGCTAAATGAACTAAGAACAGAACACTGAAAAATGCTATTTTCCTAAATGAGATAATATTGCATGGCCTCTGGTGGCATCGTGGGCAAGGGATGAAGAGGCAGTACAGACCATGGCCCAAGCCATGAACATCAGCATGGCCTCCAATGGTAGCACAGACCACAGTAGTCCAAGGGCCCTGGTGGTAACAGGAGTCATGGTATCCACATGGCCCCCAGCAGTATCTCAGACTTCAGACAGGAACATGGCCTCAGGGGACAGCAGAGACCACTAACATCAACATGGCCATGCACAGACCAAGAACGCCCATATGGTCTCCAGAAACAACATGGTCCATGGGTATCAACACAGATTTGTCATGGTCCAGCTTCGACAAAAATACCTCTTGCCAGGGTAGGGGTATGGGGGTTAGAAATATAAGACTATGAAGACACATGGAAAATAATAATACAGAAGCCATAGAAAAGTACCAGGAGGGTATTTCAGTGAATACTGAAATAACCCACATTTATTTTTCCCAAAGTTTTTATACCCAATACAAATGGGGGTAGGGAGGTGGAGAGAGAATGTAACAAAAAACTTTGTATACTTGATAGAAAGGACAACTCAAACAGTTAATTCCTTTAACACTTTGAGACATCAAATCATTAACATTTTGTAGTTTAAGCAGTGAAGCTGCCTTAGACCATGAATCCTGAAGACAGCGACTGCCCAGGTGACCTCATAGTTATAAAAGAAGGAGCAGAAGTACATTTGCATATCCTGACCACCTGTCAGGATTGAACGGACCTACTTGTGTGGGCTATTGTAATGTCAAAACAATTAAGTAATCACATCCTGAGTTGGAACATGTAAATATGCTTGTCAGCTACTTTGAGCAACCTACAACTCTCTAACCATCAGACAAGGTGGAAACAGGCTCACATTTTGGGGCCTCCACACAGCCTGTAGAGGGAGACAGTACCAGCACAACCCCTGCTTTGGCACACACCATGTACAGCAACATGGCATGTGGTGGCAGCCCACACCATGGAAGTCTTTTGAGATGGCCCAAACCAGAAAATACACTGCTCTCCTTGGACATCCCGGCATTCCTCAGAAGCAGGGTGGTCATGATGTGTATTAAAGTGCAGAGCCTGTGAGAGATCCAGCCTGCTATCTACCATGCTGCCAGTGCTATTTTTTTTGAGGCCCAATGCAAAAAATGAACAGGTCTCCATTACGGACATACTGATGTTGCTCAGAGCCAGGGTGATCATACACTATCACTAGCACCAGTCTGGGATATGCTCTTGTTGACCAGAGACAAAAAGATCTTTTGGCTGGGCAGCGTATCTGGGGACAGAATCCACTGGAGCTCCAGGTCTCTGCACATCTCTGTGCCCTCAATGAAGGCACTTTAGGTATGATCATCACACCTGCAGGCTGAGGGCAGTTGCACAGCAGTGGAGATTCCAGGTTGAGAACAAGAAAGAAAGAAAAACCCACCCTACGAGTCACCATCTTAAATCAATCTTCAAATATTTTTTAAAAGGTTCTGATAACAGAAGTTACAGATGTGCCAGGGCACATTTACTGGAGATAGAGCCATTCTCTCTGCCACTCTTCCCTGACTTTCTAACAGCAGGGCCTCACTCCAGCTCTGGCTTGGGTTGCAGCAGCTGTGGCATCCATGTCTGAGGTTCCTTCTTGGTGATTGCAGACCTGTGATGTAGCTGCTGCAGGATACCCATGGCACTGGGGAGAGAGTGCGTGAGAGACTCCACTCCTCTGCCTCTCTTTTCTAGCCCCCTGCAGGAGCCCTGTGTTTTACCCATCTTGACTCAATCCTGTCCTCCCTTCATTGTTTGTTTGCAGGGAAGGTGAGGCAAGGTTTCTCTGTGTAGCTTTGAAGCCTGTCTTGGCACTTGGTCTGTAGATCATGCTGGCCTCAAACTCACAGAGATTCGCATGCCTCTGCCACCCAGTTCTGGGATTCAAGTTATGTGCCACCACTGCCTGGCTCTTCCCTTCATTTTTTTTTTTTAATGTAACAGTCATTCAAAGGAAGAGTTAATGAAAAAACTTTCATGTCTGTTTATAAAAGTGGTTGTCACTAATACTGATATTGTAATTCAGGTTTAAGTTATGAGTGTCAACCCATACGAAAACATTTATTTAATTTAGAATCACCCATAGTCTCCCAAGTACCAATAGTGATCTATGATAATTTTCATCTTTAATGTCATCACAGATTGTGAATTGATTTTGATAATTATTTAAAATAAAGAAATGAAGCTGTAACTGTAGATAACATGCTACAGATCTCTCATGATCACTTTGACACACTCTCTACACAAGCTATGAGACTCCCTGGACACTGCAAAGCAGAGCTGTTGGGCTTGCTACAAATCCACCTCCTACGTATGTAGTCCCTGCCACTGCTGATCCCTCGGTCACTCAGGTAGGCATGTTGTCCTTCTCCTCGGATGAGTGTCCTAAAACAAAAAACAAACAAAATGTCTGCAGAGTCGACCACTGCGTTCCCCCCATCAATGATATCTCACTCGTGTCCACTGCTTGTTTATAGCACAAATCACAGAAAGGCAGAGGCCATGAAAAATCACCAACACTAGTGTTACACCCAGTGACTTTTCCATTCTCAGGGTTCCATTTGGTGACCACACCTTTGTCACTCATACATGTTGGACCTTGTACTGTGTGTACAAAGCCTTTGACTGCTGCTCTCTGCCATGGTCACATGAACTTCATTCAGCCATGGGTAGCATCGCAAGGGTGGTTTTCAATTCTACCTTGAAGTACTTTTTACATGTATGAAAATGGGAGAAAATGCACTTACTAAATTGCTAAAGGTCTTTACTGATGGACATTCACTGTTCCAGTGAAATGGGTCTGTTCAAAATGGCTATGCTCACATCCAGGTGCTGGCCTGGGTGCTCTTTATGATGAGAATTTAGAGAAGGTTCCCAATTCCCCTGAAGTCTGTTTCTGTGACAGGTGCAGCTGTGCACACAGATGTCTGACAAGTCCTGTCCAGCAGTTCTGTAGTGGCTTCTTGGGGTGTCAGAGCCCTTAGTGGCCATCAGCCATTCTGTCTGCACCTCACAAGGGAAGTTATTAGCAAGGAGAGATTTTCAAATGCTGAGAGAAGACAGCATCTATCCCTCTAACAGATGTAAATTTGCAGGGATGTGGAGTTACTGGGGACTGGCTGTTGCATTAACACACAACCAACGCCAAGGCACACCTCCAGCCCAAGGGTTTATTTTTCTTCTATACCAGTACAGTTGACTTCACATGACTAAGCCTTTTTTCTCTCATAGCCACAGCTCACACATATCACAATACATGAATACAGAAGAAGGAAAAGAGGTCTGAACACATACAAGTTGTTATATTCAGTGGTGTCTGTCCACATCCAAGGGTGGTGTGATGACTCTCTGTGCAGGCCGATCCAGTGGTCAAATGGCCCCTTGTATCTATTCAGGAAATTCTGTCATAAAACATGGAAAGCAAATATATCTGTCTCTCCACATCAGATACCACTGAGTGTCTCCAAACTACAGCCTACTCTCGGCATGGCAGCAGGTTTGAGCTAAGGGTCATTGACTTTGGAGCCTAAATAACCTTCAGTACTCAGTAGATGCATTTTACAGCCATAATCCACAGTACACTAACAACCACCCTTCCTTCTGTGGCTGAGAAAGTCCCTTGTTAAGCCTGTATTTATAGTTATTAACGGTTGTCTCCTTAAGTTTGCAACACCCGCCAGCTCGGACAAAGACTTACATGACCACCATGTTTCTCTGTCAAATGTATGTCTGGTCATGCAGGTTGACTATAAGCACTACAGGAGAGAATGTCTTTGGAGTATCTCAGGGTGACAGCCAGATGGGTTAATATCACAAATGGCACATACTAATATGTGCCCCCCCACACCATGATCCCTGTATGCCTGGGATGGAATCCTCCCTCATGCTGCAGCCTTAAGGTCCCTATCTAAAGGCAGTAAATATTCAACAGAACAAACAACAAATCAATTTTGATCATTTCTTACCAGCTCCTCTTGGTTGTCAAATCTAGCAAGTTGAGCCTCTAGTGCCCTGCAGTAGTTCTGGCTAAATGTCCAGTTTTCCATGTCTTCAGAAAAATAAAAACATTTATTTCCAAATCCAATCCAATTTCTTGGGCAAACAGCATAGGTATTCTTGCTTGAGACCTGTTCTGTCTTTCCTGCTTTTGTAATGACAAAATAAAGAGAACTCCTCACTTCTCTGGATTTAACTATGAACAAATACCAAAACATGGCATTGGTTTTTCGATACCAAACTTTGATTAAGGCCTTCCTGTTATCATGTACACATACATTAAATCCACATGAATATATGCTGGCTCTCCTTAGAGACTGTCAGAATGGCAATTATCAACAAACCTCACAGTAGAGTTCAGAATTCTGCAGAAATAGGGACACTTATTTATTGCTGGTGGGATTCTAAACTGATACATCCAATATGGAGGCTCCTTTCAAAAGTTACAAACAGACCTTTTGTGACTCAGCTATGCCACTCCTGGGCATATATGAGAGAACACTACATCACAACACAGAGACCTGCACATCCATGTCTACTGCTGCCCTGTGTACAATAGCAGCAAAATGGACCTGACCTAGATGTCCATCAACTGATGAACAAGTAATGAAAATGTGGTACATGTGTAAGCAGTAAGTTAATCAGACATACAGAAAAATTGATACTTGTAGAAAAGTGGGGGACCTACAAAGTATAATATTAAACAAGGTCACACAAAGTCAGCGAGAAATAGACCCCATGCACTCCCTCATATGTTTGTCCCAGCCTGGGATACACAGTGTGAACAGCTGTGACTGAGGGCATGGTGTAACACGTAGACTGGAGAACAAGGAGAGTGATGTAAGGTGATGAGCAACGACAGGATGCAGCAAGGGCACATAAGCCATGAATAGGGCTATAAAGAGCATTGCTTTTCTAGTTTCAGAGTTGCTGATGTTTTTTCTCATTGTGGCCAATAAGTGTATAAAAATATAAATATAGTGACACTCTAAAACCATAACGAGTGTTCCATGGCTTCCGAATGGTTTTTCTAACTGGGTGGAAGTTCAGTGAGATTCACAGGGTTTGAGATTTGGCCAGTGTTTGAGTGGCTATGCTAACAAAGCAGTGTGATGTGTTCATTTGTGAGTCTATCATAATAGAGTGATTGTGTGTGTGTGTGTGTGTGTGTGTGTGTGTAAGCTCTGAATGTGCAAGCTTTCAGAGGACTGCTTAGAAAAACAACAAATATTTTTTTCATAATTTTGCCTTTTTCTTCCTTTAACACACAAAAACGACTGCATGGCTCTTTTGAAGCACTACTGAGCCTTGAAATAAATGATTTGGTAAGAAATATTAAATATTAGAAATCACACACATACACACACTTATTTTTGGTGGAGGTAGATTTGCTGTAGATGTTCCCTGTTCCAATACTCAGTACCACGAGGCTTTAATGACAGGGACAAATACAAAAGGCACTGAGGGCGACAGCCACTTCTTTTCGTCTGAGTCTTTGCAGAGATACATGATAGTCTAGGTTACAATGACTAAGTCTTACTGGCAAATTTTGTCCATGTTTAGACTTGTGTATTATTCCCTGATGTGGTTAAAGTTGATTTTATTTTGTTTTTGAGACAGGGTTTCTCTGTAGGTTTGGAACCTGTCCTGAAACTAGCTCTTGGAGACCAGGCTGGCCTTGAACTCACGGAGAGAGTCACCTGCTTCTGTCTCCCAAGTGCTGGAATTGAAGGCATGCGCATCCACTGCCCAAAGTGGATTTTATAAAACAGTATCATGGAACATTTACTCCAGATATGGCAGGAAAGCTGTACAAGATTTTATCACATAATTTAGAACAGTCTAAAAGCTTGGGAATCACATATTTCTGGAGCATTCTATTTAGTATTTTCAGACCATGGTAGAAGACATTAACGGCAACCATGAGTCATGGCTGGGATGAGATTTTCTGTACCTTCCCCAACCATATTAGTCTTCACTGCCTTCACTGCCCCTAGCTTCAGCAGCTTCCTTGAGGCTCCTCCTTTGGGTTTTCCTTTCCTTGTCCTCTGCATTGAATCATTCCCCAGGTAGATATATGTCTTCTGCACCTCTGTCTAGAGGTTGCTGAATGTCATCTTCCCAGAGATGCTGAGCCTGGCCTCCTGTGCACACCACAGTCTGTGCTGTTCCTTCTCTGCAACTTCCTTCCAAGTTCCCAGAGAACATGAATTTCCCGTGTGTTTTCTCTCTGCCCTTCCCACAGTGCCTGGATCACAGTGCTCAGTAAGTGTAATGACAGTGTGGATGTGGACAGAATGCTGCAGGATCTGGAGAATGTCACTCACCTGACAATGACAGAGCCACAGGAAGTGCAATCACAGCTCCAGTGAGGACGATGATAATAACTGCATAGCAGCAGTAAAGCCTAGCAGGAGACACTTGGAGGATGATTCTGAGACATTGTCCTTGTTGCCTTTTACCTGTAAAATATGAATATAAGAATGTCAACTTCTAGATTTTCTTAAGGAAAATAAAAGAAACTTATGACAAACCTACTTTACAATTGCCTACAAGTACCTGAAAGAGTGCTGCAAACCCCTTTCAAAGAAGGCCCTGGTCCATAAGGGATGGCCATGGTAGAAAGAAGACTAGAGATGTTAGAAACAGAACTTCCAAGGGGTCGTCTAGTTACTGAACTGAGGGTGAATCATAAAATAGCACGAACTTAAGGTAGTCAGGATCATAATGAATGTAGTAGTAGAAGTCTTGAAGGAGCCAGGATATAGAGAGAGACACTGGAAGTAGTAGGAAAGAGCTCAGAAAGATTCATGAGACCATTTAGATCAGAAAAGAAGAGAGACCAATTACCAGTCACTTCTCCATTGCTTTTGTGATCAATCAGGTTTTTTGATAAGTAAAAATATAATGGTAGCGAATAACTCTGCTGATACGATAACTCAGATCAGGCCAAAGTACTAAATCCAGGTTTATTCTGAGCAAAACATAACCGAGTAG